CCCACGCAGCGACAGCCCGAGACGCGGCGCCGTTCCAGCCCTGCTCGGCCGCCAGTGCCGTCCCCTGCTCCGAGCAGCCACCAACCTGCAATGAGTGTGGAAAACACCAAGAGCCCACCCGCAGCCCTGCCGGCTGAGGCAGGAGGGTGGGCACTTGCTGCAGCCCCAGGTGCTGAAACACAAGGGGGTGAACCCCAAGGAACCCCCCAGCACCTTCTGACATGCAGCAACGTGCATGTTAGACGTGAAGGTAGGAACAGCTTAGGGTTCAAAAGACACATACTCACAAACTGAAGTGCTGACGTGTAGCTTTTGGTGATCTTCAAGGTTCATGTACAAACCCAGTCTTTTCCCTTGTATTTTGATACATAAAATGTTTATCATCAACTTTGTTCTTTTGTACATACACACGTCTGTGTGTATATTCAGGCTTTTATAGAGAGGGAATGCGCTCGTGTTTAATCAGGTACCACCTCTTCGAAGGGACCTTGTTCAGCACAGAGAGGTAAAAAATACAGGGGACGAGACTTTGGCGTGGTGTACTCAGCTCCAGTTCTGAGGTTTCCTTGAAGTGCTGCGTTACCACTAAAAGAGCTGCCGTAAACCTGACGTTTTTCTTTACAGAAACAACAAGGCAAAGAATGCTTCCTGTGTAAGCTTCGACCCTGACCTGCTCTACCAGTTTATGTTCTTTCTTCCCCATGCAATCAACTTTTTAAATTGAAAAAGAGACACAAAAAAGTGGATTCTAGAGAAAAGAAAAAGCGGATTCTCTAGCTGCGCGTACCCCACGAAGCTCTGCTGACAGTACTGTGCTGGTGGGAACGACCACGTACGCGCCGCGGCCGTGCGGACGCTCCACTGCCACTGACGGCGGTGGAGAGGCAACAAGATGCGCCTCAGTTCCGATGGCAACAGGTGGAATTACACTTCTGTGCAGCTACCCGTGTTCCGAGTTGCAAAGGAAAGAGGACTGGGACACGAAAAAGATCACCCCTTGGATAAGAAGTGTTACTGTAAGACTTACCTTTCTCTGAACCTTTTTCCCAAGGATGGCGAGCTCTGAAGTCCAACGCACAGGGAATTAAAGTGTAAACAGTCACATATTTAATAGTACCATCAAAATAACCATCATCACTACATTAAAAACTTCCAAAATGCATTTGCGTATGGTCCTAATATAAATTAAATATACGAACTAAAGTAAATAAATTTAACATTAGGTAATGCTATAAATAAAGGTAAATGTGTTTAGTGTACCTTTGAGTCATAAAAACGCCTTAAAAAACAGGGAAGTTTACAGCTTATCACCAATACTCTGGATACCACTGTCATGATTTTTTTCCAACATTGATAAGTCTACATTTGACAAGTCAGAATGATTTTTGGCCACTGAACACTTTGATGGAGGAAGAGGTGTGTGGGATGTCCAGGATGAAGTCCAAGTTTTATTTCACAATAAAACTTCCTTGATTCCCAGCGCTGATAACAAGGCTCTTTCTTTTCAAAACCTTAACTTTAAGTGCTTTTTTATTTGGATTTTTAACTCGTTTAGATAT